GGGGGGGGGGGGGGGGGGGGGGTGCAGAATTAAGCCAGCCCAGCCACATGGGCTCCTGAGAGGGTTGAGGTCTGTGGATTATACCAACAGCCACATCTGACACTAGTAAGAGGGGCTACTTACTTCTCTTCCATTACACCCAACCCTTTGGGAAAATTTCCTTCACTTTTGTCCCGTGAGGGATTAAGGGGGAGGACCTAAGCTGTCCTTCGGCCAGAGGATCAAATCGGGGTGAAGTTGGCAGAGGGAGCTGATGGCCAATGACAGCTGTGACCAGCAGACAAGTGCCCTCTAGAGGGCAGCATTTTGGTAGCCTGACAAAGAGGTGGGTGGATGGGGGCTTTGATCATCCTCATAAAACGACAGGTGGCAGGGGGACCTCTTAGAAATAGCCAGGGAGCTTTCTGAGAGGGAATTTTCCAAAGATCAAGCTTCTAAAGATTTGGATAGTGTAAGCTGAATATGCGGAAAACATTTTTTAAAGAGGAAAAGATGAACCTTTTGTCTCTACATTTTCTCTCTCCTTTTAAAAAAAATTTTTTTAACTTTAAGTAGGCTGCACATCCAACATGGGGTTTGAACTCATGACCCTAAGATCAAAAGTCACACAAAGTTACCAACTGAGCCGGCCATGGACCCCTCTCCCCTTTCTGAAAGAACCAATACAATGAGGCCACAGCCTTCCTACTAGCTAGAGGAATACTGGCAAATATTGTATTCAAAGCCCAGCTGGGGTGCTGGGAGGGGAGAAAGAGTGAGCCTAGTAGGGCCTTGCCCACCAGATTTCCCTCTCCAGCCTCTATTTCTTCGAACAGTGCTGACAAGTCCAGGCTTGACTCTATCGGGTGAGCTGTCCGGAGCACTGTTAGGGTTCATCAACATCCCCAGTTCTCCTCTCTTTCTGGGCACACAGGAGGACCACACCTCCTTGCCTGGCTGGAGTTAGGTGTGGCCTGGTGACATTTTTGGCCAATGAAGGGTGAGAAGCAACACATGTCACATCTGGGTAGAAGCATTTAAGAGTGGTGCATGATTCTCCCAAGCTTTCCTTCTCTGTTGCAACAAACCCTAAAACTCGTGTTTAGATAACAGTGTCCGAAAACGGCAGATCCTTCATCAGCTTGGGTCCCTGAGTGACTACAAAGAGCAGAGCCCCCCTCACGAGCCCATGTTGGACATGTGCATAAGAAATAACCCTCAGGAAACCACTGAGGTTTGGAGATCGTTTCTTGCCACAGCATAAAATGGTCCATCCAGACGGCGACACGTAGTTTTGCTCAGCAGAATCCATAGCACCTTGGCATTTCTCAAGGTACTTTCCGCCAGGGATGGGGTGGGAAACTTCATGAACTCAAAACTGGGAACTTCACTCCCCGTTCTCTCATGAGAGCTCATAATGGCCACAATTCACGGGGAACTTGTTCCAGGCAACTCTGGATCTGTTTGGCAGTAAGTAACTCCCACGTTCCCAGAATTCTACTGGGCTGGGTAGTTCTATAAAAATCTGTCTCCCCGGAGGCTATTTCAGTGTTGATACTTGTTCAAAAACATTCAGCCAAACAAATGTTCATTAAAAAGCTGGCCATCTAACCACTGGGCAGAACTGAAGCAGCATTTTGAGGCTGACTCTCAGGAACCTGCTCCAAATGAAAGGAAGGACATTCCTCCCCAGGCAGCATCTTGTTCCTCAGTAACACAGGCTGCACGTGTGCTGCGGACTTCCATGGTTACCCAAACGCAGAGGTCTGGTCTCCAGGATTCTCATGATCCTTACTCAGTTACCATAGCCACGACACATGGTTTGAACAAACAACATTTCTGACCTCATCTGGTTCTCACATTTGAAAAGTAAGACATTTGGAGAACGAATTCATTTTAAAACATTAAAGTCAGTCAGAGGATTTAGAATTTTGAGTACTGTGATCAAGTGAACACAAGGAACCTTTTTTTTGCGACTAATAGTAAAATAGAGTGACTGCCTAGGAAATCATTTTGACAACTGTTGAAATTTCACTATAGAGTATATTTTAAATAATACTATTCTATCAATGATAAAGTTCCTGACTAGGAAATACATACTACGGTATTTAGGGGTGAAGGGCTGTGATGTTTACAACTAACTCAAACTATATACCTCAAATACAGTAAAATGTTAACAACTGGGAAACCTAGGTGAATGGCCAAAGTGTTCACTCTACTATTCTGGCAACTTTTCTGTAAGTTTGAGACTTTTCAAAATAAAAAGTTTTTAAAAATCATGCAGGCTCCAGATTAGTGACTTTCAAACTTTCTTAACAATAGCCCACAAGAGAAAAAAACAACAGCCTACAATAAAATATAAATTGTACGCAGCAATCCAGACACAACATACATACATACACATATAATATGAATAAATGCATACAAATTAAGTTTTACAAAACAATGCTTGTTACATGTGAGACTCTCTGTCTTTTCTGTTCTATTCTACCTTGGTTGGTTTTTTTTTTTTTTTTTTTTTTGAACACTGGTTGTGACCCATTAAATTGAGTTGATTGACCATTAATGGTCACAGCCCGTTTGAACACTCCTACCCTCAGAGGTCTTTCTGCAACATTTCTAATGTTTAGTATCACCTACAGACACAGAAGTACTATCACCATGAAGACCTGACAACTTGGTGCACCCTGAATTATGTGAGCTTTGAAAACCCAGCTCTGTAAATATAGACAGAGGAATTCAGGACATTAAAACTGCGGATTTCCAGCAAGCTGACGAATGAAGTCATCATTACTTGTGCGTGCAGAACTGCTTGAGCAAGTATTTAGCAGACATACAGAATTTGCCCTGGCACTCAGGCCTGGGGGCTTAGAGTTGGCCAACTCCCACCCTGGGAAATCTGTCAGGCCCCCTTCCCAGCTATTGGCTGCCTCCTTTCCTCCTGGCCATTAGTCAGCCCCAAAGTGTGCCGCCCATAATGATTTCCGCACCTAATGGGATCATCCAAGCTGAAGACTCCCTGCCCTACTAACAGCATCTCTGTCCTCCGGACACTCTTCCCACAAAACCTAAGAAAAGAGGATTTTGTGGCCTTCCTGGAGATTCACAATGCATGTTTGCATATGAAAGACTCTAAAAAAAACTCCTGAGGTACAAAAACTTGTTTAACGTTTTTCTTTTTTATAATCTTAGGATTTTACCCATTTATTTGTATACAGAAACCCGCTCCCCCTCTTTTTTCCCCTACCCTGCCCTAAAGTTGCTTTGTGGCTAAGGCCACCCCTGGGAATAATTGTGGAGTAAGTGAAACGGGTCTTTGTTTTCAATGCCTCTTAACACATTCCAGACCCCAGGAACCATGGCCACCTCTCTCGAGTCTAAGTTCCTCTCACATCCCCCTTCTCTCCTGTCCTGTCCATCTTTCTGGATCCTAGTGGCCCTTGCCCCTAGGGGAGGGGGAGGGCAATTGTGGTAGAAAACAAAGGGACTGGGCTTAATGGGCTGTCCTGCCAGGAAAACTAGCACAGTTCTTAGTATTTAGCCACTGGATTGACTCTAATTCAGGCACTGCAGTCTCTGTGTCCTGGAAGATGGGGGCAAGGGATGGGGGTAGAGCCCTGTAGCCCTAAGAGCTTCCAATTCCTAGTCTTCTCACTGGAGGGCCCATGTTCACTCTTGCTTCTCTTGTCCAATTGATGCCCAGGTGACATGAGCATAAATCCATTCTTCTCCTCACCTTCACCCCATCCCGGTGTGGCACTGCCCAGGGCTCTCCTCCTCCTAGGACCATCTCTGGAAGTAAACTGTCCCTTCCATCCTGGGCTGGAATTTTCACCACCTGCCCCATCCAGTTCCCCTCTTCCCCCACCACAAACACCTCAAGCCAGTTAACGCAACTTTCCTCCGCTGGCCAAGGCAATCTGGGCCACCCCAGTGAGGCAAGGTCAGTCCATGTGTAGGACAAACACCACGATGAGCAGGAGACCAGAGCCGAGGAGAAACCAGGTGCTGTGGCCCAAAACAACGACCCCACCGGAGAGAAGGCTGTCAGACAGAGAGGTGTTGAGCATTCCCTCGGTGGTGTTGGCCACCTCCTCCACCGGGGCCCTTGGGGCCAGCAGCTTGGAGAGGAGGCTGCTGAACCTACTCACGGTGGTGGCCGCAGGCTCTGGGGACGGGCCTGGACTGGATGCGGTGAAGTTCAGCTCCTCGGGATCCACACAGAGGCCATCGGAAGTGCGCGCAAAGGCCACCTGGCTGAGGTCCAGGCCGGCCACGGAGCCTGGGGAGGCGCACGGCACGTCGGCCACGCGCCCGGAGCTCTCCATCCAGTCCCGCAGCCACTCCAGGCGGCAGTCACAGCGCCACGGGTTGCGGAAGAGAAAGAGGCGGCCCAGGAAGAAGCCAGGCTGGAAGGCAGCCCAGGCCAGCACGGTGAGGTGGTTGCCATTGAGGTGCAGAGCAAGGAGGCCCGATAGGTTCTGGAAGGCGCCCTCCTCCACAAAGGCGATGCTGTTGCGATCCAGGTAGAGCAGCTCAAGCTCCGCCAGGTCGGCGAACCAGGCGCGCCCCACAAGGCCCAGCGCGTTGCCGCCCAGGTTGAGCGTGCGCAGGCGGCGCAGGCCTTGGAAGGCTTCGGCAGGCAGCTCGGCCAGCAGGTTGTCATTGAGCAGCAGATGCTCCAGGGCGCCGCAGTCGCGAAAGGCGCCTGCGTGCACGGCGCGGACGCGGTTGGCCTGCAGGCTGAGCGAGCGCAGGCGCCTCAGACCCTGCAGCGAGCTAGACGCCACCGCCTCGATGCGGCTGCGCTCCAGGTGCGCATGCGTCAGGTTGGCCAGGCCGCGCAGCGCGCCGGGCACGCGGCGGAACAGGTTGTCGAAGGCGGCGAGCTCTCGCAGGGCGGGCAGCTCGGCCAGGAGGCGCTCAGGCACCGTGAAGAGGCGGCAGGAGGCCAGGTCGAGGCGGCGGAGGCGGCTGAGCGCGGCGAAGGTGCGCGCGTGCAGGTAGCGCAGCTCGCCGTTGTGCGCCAGACGCAGCTCGGCCAAGCGCGGCAGGCCCTTGAAGGCGCCGGGCGTGATGAAGGACAGGTTGTTGTGGCGCAGCGACAGGCGGCGAAGCGACGGCAGCGTGCCAAAGGCCCGCTCGCCCAGGAAGCGCAGGCCGTTCCGGTCCAGGTCGATGGAAGCTGCCTCGCACGGAAACTCGGCCGGCACCCGCAGGAGGCCGGCGCGGTCACAGCGCACGGAGCAGCCGCGCTCGGTGCTGCTGCAGGAGCAGGCGGCCGGGCAGGTGCGCGTGCACGCCTCCTCGGCCCAGGCGCTGGGCAGGCCGAGGACTACCGCTGGCAGGTGGGGTGGGGGGGGCGAGAAGACAGAAAAGGAACAGCCGTCAGCTCAGGGGTCGCCCCAGGTAAGGTCCCACCTGTCCGTGTGGCTGGGTTCGGCCCTCCACCAAGTTCTCGTACCTCCTGCATAACCGTGCCCTTCGAAGGGCCTCCTCCCAGTTCTCAGACCTTAACACACGTTCCCCACCCACGCCGCCCTACCCTTTGCTTTCCAGTTGTCTTTATCAGCAAAACCCAGCTGGGATTCCGGCATCTGACCCCATTCTGAACCCTCTCCTGCCTGTAACATCACTGGGTGCTCTCCTGGAATTCAGCCTAGAGGAATCATTGCATGCAGAGGGGGGACCTGGAGGGCTTCACCAGGGCCTGTGCTCTAGCCCTGCACTGCCCAATACCGTAGTCACCAGCCACATGTGGCTACTGAAGATTTGAAATGTGCCTATCCTGAATTGAGATGTGCTGGAAGTGTGAAATACACACCAGGTCTCAAAGACTTAGTACCAAAAAAAGAATGATAAATTGTTTCATCAATAATTGTTGTATTGGTTACACGTTGAAAAGATATTTTAGATATATTTGGTTAACTGAAATATTAAAATTAATGTCATCCTTTTCTTTTTACAGTTTTTAATGGGGCTACTTAGAAAATTTAAGGGGCACCAAGTGGCCCAGTTAGTTCAGCGACGGCCTTCAGCTCAGGTCATGATCTCACGGTTTGTGAGTTTGAGCCCCACATGGGGCTCTCTGCTGTCAGCGCACAACCTGCTTTGGATCCTCTATCCCCCGTCTCTCTGCCCCTGCCCCGCTCACTCACTCTCTTCTCTCTCTCAAAAATAAATAAATAAACTTTAAAGAAAAAAGAAAATTTAAACATATGTGGCTTGCATTATATTTTTATTGGTGCTGCTCTAGTCCCTCCCACCATAAGAATTCAATTTCTGAAACAAAACCCACTGAGTAAATTAAGCCTCATGAAGAAGAGAGAGTTAGGGAACAGGAGGTTGGGAAAGAAAGAGAAGCCTATCAATCTTTTTTTTTTTTTCTTTTTAACAGTCACTAAATTTAAGCCCTAAGGACAGCATACTAAATAAACTAACAATGACCTTCTTACATATCTCAGAAAATAATTGTGGACACCGTGAAGTTAACTTTTATTCACCATCCCTTGCCCTCTAAAGGCTTTTATACGTTATCATGGGAAAGAATGGTGCTTATAAAATTAATTCTGTTCTGAGCATTTGAATGGAGGATCAGATAAAGACTTCAAAAGCCCTCCAGTAGGCTTGCCACCTGCACCAAAACAGAATGGTAGCCAGGGGTCCCAAGCCCCATCTTGAGTTCTAATGGAAAAGGCAGCAGGGAAGATGCGCAAGTTTTATTTTCTGGCCAAGGGAGGCTCACAGGTGGAATGTGCTCGATCTGAAATTCCTGCAGAGGAACAAAGGTACCCAGATGTAAACCTGACCACTGATATTCATAATTTCTGTTCCTCCTCAGCAGTATTCCCAAATTGCTAACAGACACCCCTGACCTATCATTCAGTCCCTCCCACTGTGTACACATTACCCTGCCTTGCCAGTCCCAGCCCCTGTAGGAACCTGAAGGTGTAGCCACACAAGAGCGCGCAGAACTCTTGCTGCTGCCTCTGTGGTTTTGTTCAACTTCCAGTGTCTTTTCGGCACATTTGTTGTGGACACGGCGTGTTTTTACAGCTGCTAGGAAGGGGTTCAGCTCTTTCAGACTTGGCTGGAGAACACTCAGCCCTTTGAGCAACCCTTCTGTTGTAAACTGTAGCTAGTTCAACATTCTGAAGTTACGGAGGCTTGACTTAGCTTTTTCCTCTCCCTAAGAACTGTGAACTAGACACCAAGCTTCCAGCAAGGTTCTTGGACCCTGTGCTGAACTTGGCTGTAAACAGGGCAGCAGTTGGGCTAGAGAGACACCCTGTTAGAGAGACAGGGCCAAGAATATAACCTTAACTCCAGGCGTCAGCTGGACAGGGGTGGGACCTTTTTCTATCAACTCTTCCAACTGGGTCAAGAAGAAGGCATCAGATTTCCTTACAAATAGTCCTTCATTCTACTCTCTTCTCCTTTCTAATTAAGAGAAGTGTACTCTCAACTGTATGACTCACGTTTCTACTCCACAATAGCTAACATTGTTCCGGGCACACGAAATGTTTGCAGAAATAAATGGAATTGATGCCTTCCTCTGTAATGATTCCTGCTGGAGGATATCATTTATTTATGAAACAAAACAAAACAAACTTCTTTGTCAAGGAATTCCTAGGATTATGACAGGGATTAGATTAAAAAATGGAGCTGACAATTTTTTAAAAACACACGCAAGAGGGGTGGGACTAAAGCTTTTTATGGTGTATCTTTTTTACCTCTTAAATATTGAACCATGTGATTGTATTCCCTGTTTCAGAAAATAGATTATAAAGGTTTTTTTTTTGAAGTTTACACACTCAAGATGTCGTCACTATTACAGACCTATTTTCAACCTCTGAAACTTTGATAGACCATTAGGAATTACTAATTTACTGGATTATTTAGTGAAATTTAAATCAAGTAAGTTCTCAGAACAGACAAGCAAAAGCCAGTATTGGTTTACTCAATATAAAGACTAAGTATATGAGTTCTGCTTGCAATAATGGCAGGGTAGCTTGTATCAGACTAACATTCCTGCTGATCGCTAGTGTAAACTGTGGGAAAATATTTAAAGAAAAAATATTTAAAGGCACTGGAGAGCAACCTAAATAGGCAACCAGAGTAGATACAACCCTTAAGAGAAGTAAACTAGGTGGGGCACCTGGGTGGCTCAGTTAGTTAAGCATCTGACTTTGGCTCAGGTTATGATCTCATGGTTCTCAGATAGAAGCCCCACATTGGGCTGTCTGCTGTCAACACAGAGCTGGCTTCAGATCATCTGTCCCCCCCTCTCTCTGCCCCTCACGTGCTCTCTGTCTCTCTGAAAAATAAACATAAAAAGAGAGAAGCAAACTAGGTAAAGACACAATTTATCTGAGTTTTCCTCTTATACCTGAAACTAATATAACATTGTATGTTAGCTATACTGGAATTTAAAAAAATAAATTTTAAAAATAAAAAAGAAAACGGCCTTTTCCTCTTAGGGAGGGCATTTTGAGGTCCATGCTGCAGATAGGGAATAGAGCTCAAGCAGAAAGCAAGAGTCTTATCAGGCTGACAAGTTAGAAGTCAGAGTATATAGCTGCCACAGTGGCTGGAAATTGAGGAGGGAAAACATGGAAAAGAAGGAGCCACACAACTGGCAAACATACTCCCCTTAGATCCTTGTTTCAGTCCTCAAGTGCATATATGTGGGGTGACTCCAAGGAGCCGAGAACTCAAGGCCAAAAGAACTACATGAAGATTTCAGCAATTTCCCAGTAATGGGAGACAGATTAAGAGTTCAAGGTCCACCAAGTTAGACGGGCTTGTAAAATACCTCAGGCTTTCCAGTGAAACCCCAAAGGGTCACACCTTAGGAGTGAAGACCATTTCTCAGGACAAAGGGCAAAACTGAACTAGGTAGGCCTACCCTAACAAAGCCTAAATCTAAGCCTCCCCAGTATCAAGGTGATCTGCCAGTAAATTAACTGAATGCCACACAAAATTCAACACTCTTCGAAGGAAGATATGAGAATCTAGAATTTCTTATAACTACTATATCTTATATATAGTCAAATAATACTAGATATGTGAAGAAGTAGTAAAATGTGACATTTATCAAAAGGGGGAAAAATAGTTAATTAGAGGCAGACCCAGAGACTGCCCAGATGTTGGAATTACCAAACAAAAATTTAATATTAATATGTCAAGGAATTTATAGGAAAAGATGGATATAATGGGTGAAGACATGGGGAATTTGAATTTTAGAAGACATATGGAAACTCTAAAAATGAACCCAATGTGGGGCATCTGCGTGGCTCAGTTGGTTAAGCATCTGACTTTTGATTTTGGCTCCGGTCATCATCTCACGGTTCATGAGATAGAGCCCTGTGTGGGGCTGTGTGGGGCTGTGTGGGGCTCTCTGCTCACAGCATGCAGCCTGCTTGGGATTCTTTCCCTCTTTCTTTGCCCCTCCTCTTTTCATGGTCTCTCTCTCTCTCTCCTTTCTCTCTCTCTCAAAATAAATAAACATTTAATAAAATTTTTAAAAATTAACCAAATGGAAATCTTAGTACTGAAATAATACTACAATATTTGAATTTCTTAAAAAATCATTGAATAAGAAAAATAGCAGATTAGAGATAGCAGAAGAAAACATTTCATGTACTTTAAGAGATGTCAACAGAAATTACCCAAAATGGGGGCACCTAAGTGGCTCAGTCAGTTAAGTGTCTGACTTCTGCTCAGGTCATGA